ATGCATGGAATCTAATTTTAACAAACATTAATTAAAATGACTGTCGACTGCATCTGTTCAAGAATCCCGTTATTAATTTATCAGATGAAGAAACAACAATAGAGAATCCCTCTATGACTTCAGCCTGCAACATTTTAACAGATATTTTAATTAGATGTTGTTAAAAAAAAATATAACACATTAAAAATAAGGCCCATCTGTATATCTCAGTATGATCTTTCTTAACAAGATAAAGGAAAAAAAGTCATTTAATGGGAACTGCCAAAATGAAAGCCGATTACATAAAGAAAAAAAAATGAGATGGTTAGCAGAGATCTCATCAAAACTGCCTTCAAACACTACAAGAGATGTTGAAATATCCATGAACATATTTGTATAATTTTTTTTTTAATGGTTTCCTTTTTCTTCCATATTGCTAACAAAGTGTGTGTATATTTATGTATGTGTGTGTATGTATGTATGTATATATACATACTCAACAAAATTATAAACGCAATACTTTTGTTTTTGCCCCCATTTTTCATGAGCTGAACTCAAAGATCTAAGACGTTTTCTATGTACACAAAAGGCCTATTCCTCTCAAATATTGTTCACAAATCTATATAAATCTGTGTTAGTGAGCACTTCTCCTTTGCAGAGATAATCCATCCACCTCACAGGTTTGGCATATCAAGATGCTGATTAGACAGCATGATTATTAACCCCTTAAGGACGGAGCCAAATGTACACATTGTGAACAAAACAAAATGTAAACAAAACCTGGCATTTGCGCTACATGTCTGTCCAACCGTAATACACCTCTTTCATAGTAAATGCACCCACACTTATTATATATCATTTTATTCAGGGGAAACAGGGCTTTCATTTAATATCAAATATTTAGCTGTGAAACATAATTTAATATGAAAAAAATGGGAGAAAATACGTTTTTTTTGGATTTTTTTAGTTCTACATGACATTTTAACGGTCAGTGTCATAATACTGTTTGCTTTTACTGCAATAAAATACACATATTTGTATTTAGTAAAGTCTCACGTGTAAGACAGTACCCCCTATGTACAGGTTTTATGGCGTTTTGGGAAGTTACAGGGTCAAATATAGCCCGTTACATTTGAAATTGAAATTCGCCAGATTGGTTACGTTGCCTTTGAGACTGTATAGTAGCCCGGGAATGAAATTTACACCCATAATGGCATACCATTTGCAATAGTAGACAACCCAAGGTATTGCAAATGGGGTATGTCCAGTCTTTTGTAGTAGCCATTTGGTCACAAACACTGGCCAAAGTTAGCGTTAGTATTTGTTTGTGTGTTAAAAATGCAAAAAACACCAATTTTGGCCAGTGTTTGTGACTAAGTGGCTACTAAAAAAGACTGGACATACCCCGTTTGCAATACCTTGGGTTTTCTACTATTGCAAATGGTATGCCATCATAGGGGTAATTTTCAATCTTGGGCAACCATAGGGTCTCAAAGGCAACCTAACCAATCTGGCAAATTTGAATGTGAAAAAAATGAAACACAAGCCTTATATTTGACGCTGTAACTTTTTGAAAACACCATAAAACCTGTACATGAGGGGTACTGTTGTACTCGGGAGACTTCGCTGAACACAAATATTTGTGTTTCAAAACAGTAAAAGTATCACAGCAATAATATTGTCCGTGTAATGCTGTTTGTGCGTGAAAAATGCAAAAAACTTCACTTTTACTGGCGATATCATCGTTGTAATACATTTACTGTTTTGAAACACTAATATTTGTGTTCAGCGAAGTCTCCCGAGTAGAACAGTACCCCCCATGTACAGGTTTTATGGTGTCTTGGAAAGTTATAGGGTTAAATATAGTGCTAGCAAATTAAATTCCTTTACTTTCGGCATGGGTTGTCAGGCAGGTCCCGCTAATTGTAATTAATTAAGATACCTAATTATGTAAAAATATTACATAAATATATATGTAGAATTAATATATGTATATATATACGTATGTGTATATATATGTATATATCTATATAATTTTTTAAAATATTTTTATTTATATATAGGTATATATATAGTGATATATACGTATATATTTAGGTATATAGATATATTATTTTGTTCTACGTGTATTTTGATATATATATATATATATATTAATTTCACAAAACAGTTAGAACGAAATAACACACATCTATATATTTTTTAATTATTTATTTTTAATTATTTTTTTTATTTTATTTTTTAACGTATTTACATTTTATTTTTTTTATATTATATATAAATATATATATATAACAATAATTATATATATATTTAATCAGTATCAGTCTACGTGTAATTTGATATTAATATATATATATATAATTATATATATATTAATAGTAAAATACACCTAGATGGTGTATGTGTGTGTATGTATATGTGTATATATATACTTAGATCATATATATATAATATATACATATGATCTAAGTATATATAATTTTTTTTTTTTACACCATTAACTTATTTTTATTTTATTTTCAGCCAGCAGGGGGACCACCTGTAATTACAGGCAGCCCCCCTGCCGGCAATACAGAAGCCAGCTATACCCGGCCATGTGATTGTGGGGTCCTGCTAGGACCCCACTCTCACATGGCCGGGGGGCTTCAACGAGGACGGATGTGCCGCGGGGGCTCCCTGGGAGTCCCCCCCACCGCGATCGCCGGCGTGGGACCGCCGGCGACCGGGTAAGTTAACAAAAACCGGAGGGCGTACAATTACGCCCGGCGGCGTTTAGAGCCGCCTATTAGAGGGCGTAATTGTACGTCCTGCGGTTTTAAGGGGTTAAACAGGTGTGCCTTAGCCTGGCCACAATAAAAGGCCACTCTAAAATGTGCAGTTTTACTGTACTGAGTGAGTCTGGGGGGGGGTCAGTATCTGGTGTGACCAGCATTTGCCTGTGGATGGATTATCTCGGCAAAGGAGAAGTGCTCACTAACACAGATTTAGACAGATTTGTGAACAATATTTGAGAGAAAAAGTCTTAGATCTTTGAGCTCATGAAAAATGGGGGTAAAAACAAAAGTGTTGCATTTATAATTTTGTTCAGTGTTTATTGCTTTAGTAAAGAGAATATATATATATTTATATATATATATATATATATATATATACATACATTCTCTTGACTATATATATATACATATATATATATATATATATACACATTCTCTTGACTAAAGCAATATGAACTTGAATTCTAAATTAAGCAGTTACTTGAAGATTATTTTTGTTTGCAATGTTGTATTTTACGTAGATCTGTATTCAATGTGGATATTGTGCCCAAAATCGTCAGTTCCTTGGATGAAGTCCAAACCAGTTGCCATGGAAAATGTAACAATAACACTTCCACTAATAAGCTCCCTAGTTTATTCAGAGGACATTTGGAAGTATAGAAAATAAGAAAGTGAGAAGTTACCAATCATAACATTTGATTGGTAACTAACAGACTGGTAATACAGTACATTTGCGTGTTTCTGTGTATGTGCACTTTTATGTAAAGTTGAAAAAATTGCCATTTTTGTATCTTTTTTTATTTATTTACTTACGTTATTATTTTTTTCAAGAAAGAAGATATAAAAAAGGTAGATAAAATACTCACTTTGCATAACGTAGGCCATTTGTATATTTGTATATATATAAAAATCTAAAGGGCTTGCACTCCTGGTTTAATCCAAATTAATGCCTGGTTCTGGTCTAGCAAAAGTACAATTTCCAGGGTAATGACCACACTCATAGGACTTTAAAGCAAAAAAACCCAAAAAACTATGATAAAATAATACTTAACTTTTATTAGTTCATGTTAAAAATAGGTTGACGTTTCAGTCCCACCAAAGGGACTTTCATCAGGACAAAAAAACAATTACACAACTTTCCACCACACAATATATAGCCAAAATACAGTGATCATACTATCAGCCTTACCCCACACAGATGCGTGGCATCTATAGCTAATCTGAGGCTCGCATGGCCATTGCTACACGCAAGCATGCACTGGGCCTGAAGCCTAAGGGGGCGGAGCGCATGCGTTCCAACTTGTTGTCATATTAATGCTTTAGCTTTTTTTGTTGTTATTTCTGATCCTGAAGAAAGCCCAGATTGGGGCTGAAACGTCAATAAATTCTTTTTAATGCATATTGAATAAAGCATTTTGCAATTTTTATTAAGAAGACCGAAGAGTGCAGCCTTCATCTTTGTTTGTTTTTTATATCTTCATTTGCCAGTTGGCTTATGCACAAGTCTTTTATATGGATTACGTGAGTGCAAGGAATCCTTTCTAATTCTATATATATATATATACAGGGACGTATTAGCCGCGAGGCAAACAAGGCATTTGCCTTGGGCGGCATTTTTCAGGGGGCGGCAAAAAACGCCGCCCCCCAAATGCCCAGGGCAGATGCCTTGTTAGCCTTGCGGCTAACTGACATCCCGAGCGGGCGGGCGGCGCTGGCAGACGGGCGGCCGGCGAGGGAGCACTTCCCATGAGCTGACTGCTCAGCTCCCTCAAGGGTGAGGCTGGTCGGATGACGCCATCTTCCGTTCCCAGCCTCACTCTGCAGCCGACGCGCGAGGGAGCTGAGCAGTCAGCTCATGGGAAGTGCTCCCGCCGGCCGCCCACCTGCCAGCGCCGCCCGCCCTGCAGCCACTGGACCACCAGGGAGAGAGACCCCCCCCAGCACTCCCAAAGGTAAGGAGGTTGGGGGGGATTTAAATAAAAAAAAAGTTAATGTGTGTGTGTGTTTGTGTCTGACTGTGTGTGTGTTTGTGTCTGACTGTGTGTGTGTTTGTGAGTGTGTGTTTGTGTCTGTGTATGTGTCTGACTGTGTGTGTGTGTGTGTTTGTGTCTGACTGTGTTTGTGTCTGTGTATGTGTCTGACCGTGTGTAAAAGTTTTGTGTCTGACTGTGTGTTTGTGTCTGTGTATGTGTCGGACTGTGTGTGTGTGTGTTTGTGTCTGACTGTGTGTTTGTGTCTCCGTGTATGTGTCTGACTGTGTGTGTGTGTATGCGACTGTGTGTGTGTGTGTGTGTTTGTGTCTGACTGTGTGTGTGTGTGTTTGTGTCTGACTGTGTATGTGTGTGTGTGTGTGTCTGACTGTGTGTGTGTGTGTGTTTGTGTCCTGACTGTGTATGTGTCTGACTGTGTGTGTGTGTGTTTGTGTGTATGCGTCTGACTGTGTGTGTGTTTGTGTCTGACTGTGTGTGTGTGTTTGTGTATGTGTCTGACTGTGTGTGTGTGTGTGTGTGTTTGTGTCTGACTGTGTGTGTGTGTATTTAGAAGGTGGGGGTGGGGAAGGGGTTGGTGGGGGTGGCGGGGAGGGTTGGCTGCCTAGGGCAGCACAAAACCAGGATACACCACTGTATATATATATATATATATGTATGAGACAATAAATAATCATCCAACGTAAGTACATTTCACAATGAGTATAATATAACGAGAACAGAGAAGAAAAGGGAAGGAATGCTAAGAAATGTGGCAGAGAGGGAAAATGAAGGTTAGGAGACGATAAATATTCCAAAACACCATATCTATTAAATCTATATCAGTAGTTAGCTAACAATACTTCATTGTGGATTTACTCCCTAAAAAAAAAATGTGTAGAGGGAGGGATGACATGGCCAACTAAGTTATTCAAAATATTAATACAGCATTGCATCTATTTAATCTCATATTGCAGTTAATTGCATTTGTAGAACTGTATGCAGGAACACCAGGTTGTAAAGGGCCTCTTTTTTAATAAAGGTGTGGGTTTTGCCTTAATATATTTGCCAAAGTCATTCTACCCCAGATATTCTCTGCAATAATCCAACCAGGATACCCATATTTTAAGTTATTTCTGTTTACAAACCCTGCCCCACCCCCAATGTAACTCCTCAATCTCCCTAGCATGTTCTACTTTCTAAACCCACTGCTCCACAGTTAGAATTTGTATCCATCTCCAGTAGGTTGAGATCAAGGCATTCACTGCTCCTAATAATATGCATAATAATTGCTGTTTATACATATCAGAGATGGCATTTGGCCAACCTAATAATACCTGCGGTGAAAACAGTGAGGACAAAATAAGGAGTATTATTTTAATAGCAACAGTAAATTTCCCAATAAGGAGGAATGGCTGAACAGTGCGACCATATAAGTTCCTGAGTGCCCTCCTCACTCTGGCACCTCCAGCATTAGCAGTAACAGTCACCGAGGGAAAAAGTTGTTTAGAGGTCCTATACCACCTAGTCACCCTGTTATGTAATGCTTCCCTATTGGTTAGGCTTACCATAGATGTCATAATACTACCAAAGATATGAGACCAATCCTTCTCGGTTGGCTGTACCGGTAATGCTGCTGCCCACTTCAGCTGAAACCCTGCACCAATCTTTTTATAGCACTTTTAGCACATGAGGGAGAGAATGCACCAGATCCATCAATGACAATAATGTATTGTCTGCAAATAATGACACCTTCATTTATCCCAGGAATTCTAAAACTTTGAATCTGTTGATTGCTGTGGATGGCTTGTAAGAGTGGTTCCATCACTAGAACGAATAATAGGGGGGACAAAGGACACCTCTGTTTTGTTCCATTTTCTTATGGTAAAAGATGGGGAAAACTGAAGAATAATTGGGATAGTAGCATATGTGGGACCCATATGTAAGAATGTTTTCAATGTCTAAATCTACATTTTTTGTAATGTATGTGAATGCAGATACTATCAAGTACGTGGAAAGTAATGTAAGTACTCTGTCTCACAGTTCATGTTGGATGATATTTGAAATAGCTGTCAACAGATGTGGAATTATGGTGGATGCACAAGGTGATTAATTATTGCCCATAAAGCCACAAAGGAAAAGAGAAACACGGAATTAGTGCTGATGGTGTCTGTTTTGAAGATCTATAAGGTACACTACCAGAGTTAGTATTTTGGGTATTATCATAAAGAATGAAAATAAATACCCACAGGTTTAATTTGCATTTGAAGTAATATTTCACTTGTTAATTTAAAGCCCTGGGTACATTGACATTTACCACTACCACTACCTGGCAAGCTTGGATGATTCATCATGTGATAACACTATAATTAATTTCAAAATGAATGTAAGTCATTTTGACACAGGTTTTTTTAGACTAAGCAAAATCTTTTTGTCTACATAACCATATGAAAAAGGTACCGTAGATGGCATTATTTTTTTTCCTTCACTGAGACATTTTATAATTTTATCTGTTCATCAAAATTATTTTATTAAATGATAATAACTAATAACTCTGTCATGGTAATAAAATTTAAATATCAGCAGAAACTAAAATATTTTTTTCAAAAATGTGTAATAGATTAAGAGGATTTCCTTATAGTTATTTTTTAGATGGATAGTAAATAGCAGTATTCTTCTGGAGGGTTAGGAAGATCAGAGAGGGTGCGCTGAGGGGGGATATGTGCTGCGCAAAGGATGAGCATACCACCACTGATGTCTCAGAGACCAATTTGCACAGGATTCACATTAGTCACATAGAACTCTTCTTTTAGGGTGTTTAATAATGTGCCAATGATGAGACTGGAACAGAGTTTCACATTTGGAAGCAGAGGAGTCAAACACTGTATGTGTTTTGCTATGAATGCTATGGCATACCCTTTATATCTTCAAAGCAGTCATTAGGTACCAGTGAAGTTCTCATGGTGCTTGGAGTAACCCTTTAAATAATTCTCAAACCCAGATGAGAATTACTTTATTCTTTAAGCCATTTTCATGTATTGTAAAAAAAAAAAGAAAAAGAAAAAAAAAAGAATTCTAAACATCTAATTGTAATTTTAAATTAGGGAGACTCTTAAACATTAGAGAAAAGTTTATTGTACCAAGGATTGGAGGAAGGCAGATGTGATTCCTATATTCCTATTCCTATTCAAAAAGGTTTCAAAATCTTTGCCTGGAAATTATAGATCTGTGAGTTTAACTTGATATGGCTTCTCACAATAGATTAGTGTTCAAACTAAAAGAAATTGATCTAGATGGAAATTCTTGTTCTTGGGTAGAACATTGGTTTAAAAATACAGAGTACAGAGAGTTGTCATTAATGGAAAATATTCAAACTAGACTAAAGTGGTGTCCCTTATGGTCCTGTTCTGGGACCATTTATATTAACGTATGTATAAATGATCTTGAAATAGGCATTTAAAGTCATGTTTCAGTGTTTTCAGATGACACAAAACTCTGTGAAGTAATACAATGTGAGCAGGATATTGCTTTGCTGCAGAGGAAATTAGATAGACTGGGGGACTAGGTACTCAAATGACAGATGAAATTTAATATAGAATAATGCAAAGTTATACAGTTCAGGGTAAAAACACTCAAGTAACTTACACGCTAAATGGTAGTGAATCAGGGGATTTGGGCATTGTTATAGACAACAAACTGGGCAACAGTGTGTAATGTCAATCGGTAGTTGCTAAGGCCAGTAAAGTATCATCATGTATAAATAGGGGCATTAATTATCTGGATGAAAATATAATTTTGTCTCTTTATAAATCTCAGTGTGCCAAGGCTTTGACTGACAAGGGACAAAAGACTTCCCACAGGAGGTTCCTCTACTATCTTCGAATAGCAACCATGGCTGTTACCATGATAACTCTATATAGGAATTGAGTGATGTGATTTGATGTCAATCCATTCCAAAGGTGCACACTGGCAACGAAGCCAGAGGGCAGATGTCACTGACGAGATTTGCCCTGCATGGGAAGGCATCCCAAGGAGAGAAAATCAAAGAACAGAGGCTGAGCAGAGGAGGAGTGAAGGACAACATGAAACGTAACACCCACAAATCCCTGCTGGAGCAGAGGAAAAAGGAGTAACCTTTATATTTTACATTGAATACACCTAGTATCTTTATCATACGTATATAGTGTCTTCAATAAAGTGTATGAGAACGATTTAGGGTACGTAGTTTTTTGTTTTGTTTTTTTAAACAGGTTCACTTTAAGGATAATAAACATAATTTGTGTACCTTGTATATTAGATGCATTCATAAGAATGATTACCCTCCTAAGGGCATCAGGTGCCTCTCTGCCTTGAATAAAACCAACCTAATCTGGGTAAATAAACTTTGGAAGTAGGGATCCCTATCTATCTGCCACTACCCTTGTATAAATTTTAATATCTACATTAATCAAATATATTGGACAATTGTGTACACGGAATGATCCTTGTCCTTTTGAGGGATAACTGAAAACAATTGAGCATGACGTTGTAGTGTGATCAGTCTGGATACCAAGTCAAGGTCCAGCCACCTCCATTCCTGCTACACTCTCCTAGAGGCATCTGTACCTGGTGATAGTCATAAAAACTTCTTGGTCATAATGGATTAGAAGGAGGCACATGAGACTTGTTTATTGGCAAGTCTCCATCCCTATATCAAATGGATATAGGTCTCATGGCTTGTGGCTTGAGTAGCTACTGATATTTTGCAACACTAGCAACTATGATAGCATTAACAACATGCAAAATTGTAATGGCCTGTCTCTTCAGGTAGTCTATGCTCATGTTTCAAACAGGTTTTTACTCATAGGTATAATTTGTAGCTAAGAAGCCATCTGACACCAATGGTATTCTAATGTGTAGATTTTACTTACTGTGGAATCCTCTTCTAAAGTTCATGCTGTAATGTACCAACATGTATAGTTGGAAGAGTAGGTAGAAAGTCTACATACAATTTAATCTATTTCATGTTTTAGAAGAATTGTTGAAATTATATAACTTGCTGTATTTCACAGTTTAGTCAAGATCTTTATTGAGATCATGTAAGAAAAGATACACAGGATTATTCACTAAAGGGCAATGTGTCTGGAATTAGAAATTAATTTCTTCGTATTAGCTAAAATAGTTGAATATCTTAAAGGACCACTATAGTGCCAGGGAAAAATACTTGTTTTCCTGGCACGCCGGGCTCTAGGGGGTGGAAGGGGTTAAATTTACCAATTTTTCCAGCGCCGGGCGGGGGACTCTCCTCCTCCTTCTCATTGTCAACGGCTGAATGCGCATGCGCGGCAAGAGCCGTGAGCACATTCAGTCAGTCCATAGGAAAGCATTATCAATGCTCTCCTATGGACACAAGCATCTTCTCACTGTGAAAATCACAGTGAGAAGCGCGGAAGCCCTCAACAAGACAGCCGCTAGAGGCTGGATTAACCCTATTATAAACATAGCAGTTTCTCTGAAACTGCTATGTTTATAGAAGAAAGGGTTAACCCTAGCTGGACCTGGCATCCAGACCACTTCATTAAGCTGAAG